ATATATACAGGTTCATAATTTTTTCGTTATAATTTGGTATTAAACTTAAAAAGCAGTGTCGCGACAGCACGCGAAATGGCTTCAAGGAAGCAGTAGACTGTAACGACCCAGACATGGCCCTGACGGGAAGCTCTCAGAAGCTATGGTGGAAAAATCATGACGACAACAGCAAATATAGAAGAGGCAAGATACTAACAAAATTATTATTGTTCTCATCGTCAGAGTTAGTGTTCTCACTACTTCTATTCTCATTGCTTTTTGAGATAACGGTTGTGATTAGTGATTATTTATCCTCCTTTTCTTAGTTGTGCTTCCATTAAATTTCTTAGTTTAATTTTGGTTTAGAATTTTGGTCTAGAATTTTGAAACGTTCATCAATTTGTATTTTCTCTGGGTTAAAGTTTATTATCTTTTGTGGCTTTGTGATCATTCTTTGTCATAAGGTAGCACTGAAGTTCAGTGTTACTTTTCTGTCAATATGTTCAACACTCTATACATCGTTAGAGTTTAGGTTAGTAAACAATGCTCAGTGATCTTTCCTTACACCTTGTATTATCAAAATTTCGTTACTCGTTTGTTTGTAGTAATTGAAAATTTTAACAAATAAAGAATCATCCAAGGCATTAAGCGTCCAACAACGTTACCACTCCGCGTCAATTCAAAAGGTTACAGTCCTCAAAATATACAGCTGCAAGCGTCTGTGACTACGATTGCTTGCGGTTTAAAACTTGAAGAAGCAAGGATCCCGGTAAGGACGCTGTAGAGGAGTTGTGATCAACTTCCCAATTAAAAGGAGTGTCGGTAGTCACGACAAGCAGAAATAAATCTGCAGGTAACGACAGCTCAAAGTGAGCGCCAATCATTGTGAACTGCTCGTCTTTTATAAGATTCATGAGGCCTCAGTAAAATTAGTGAAGCTATTAAGCATTTCGAGTTCAACTTTTATTAAGTACCAAAACTGCAGCTAGGATCATCTTGAAAGTTGTATTTTAAAAAAGCGGAAAGTAAAGAAATGTGGAAAAAATAAATTACGGTATGAAAATCTTCAAAAGTTTTAAACTATATATTTTCAAAAAAATCGACTATCAGT